AAGACCCTCCAAATTCAAAAGCGCAGAGTCATTTGAATGTGTCAGCCGTGAGTAAAGGAGGAAAAAGGTCAAGCTGATCACATGACAACACGAACAAAAAAACATTGCACTCGGATAGATGTAATGCAGAAAAAAATATGTCCTTGTAAGGTGCCACAGCTTGCCAATAAAATTTCCCTCTTATTCAATCCATCGTCACAACTGACATACAGACCATATTTATTTGCAGATTCTTCCCCTTCCTGCTAAACAGAGTGAAGTCAGCTGAAAAACGGCGATATCTATACTCATGTACTATAGTAAAACAGGGGCAAATAAATGCTGGCTGGACCAAAAGAGAAATTGTCACAAATGATAAAAGCCTCTTCCTCAAAACTGAAGACACAAGGCAATAAGACCTTTGAATACGACGACGACGACGAATATTTTCAGGATGATTCTACGTACATCCTGATTCAAAGAGACCCCCGTATCACTGCTTCAGACACAATTTACAGAAATAAAAATAATTACATGCTTTCTGTGTTTGTTTTTCTTTTTAAGAAAAAGAAGGCTGTTTTTAAAAATTCACAAAGCTTCTCATATATTATTATGCATAATTAGTAAACAAAAATACAGTCACAGAAAGTGCAGCTTGTTGGTGCCCATTTTGCCAGTTAACATTTCTGGAAACGCTAAAAACATAATATTATTACATGCTCCTGATATTTTCAAAGTTTGAACTTCAGGCAAAATATCAGTTTCTTACTGGGATACTGGTTATTCTGTTTTCTTTGGGGCAATTTGAATTTAAAGTCAAACCAGAGACAGAAACAAAACTTCCAAAAACTGAGAGCATGTAGCCTCTGGTCAGAGCACCAAACCAAAGAAAAACTTTTTTTAAAGGAGGAGAAAAAAAACAACAAGATTCCAGTTGGCCTAAAACCCCAACCCCCTACATATCATCAGTTTAGTCCATAATGGGGCTATCTGGGATTTGTTAGAGATAACATTTTGCTCAATGCTTAAACTGAAAAACACATATTTCTTAACGAAAGAAATTTCATGGCACATTATTGTCTAAGCGAAATAATGGTCAGGGTGTTACAGTCGAAAAAAGGGCTAATGTGTAAAAAAACCAAAACAATTAGAAATTCAATTCAAACTTAATGAAGCAGAAAGCAAACCAGGCATAAGCCTTTTAGGCAATACAATAAGAAATTTCTAATATCTTTCACCACTAAAACACTTGAAAATTTATAGTAAAAAAAAAAGATGTTTGTCCTTATCAGAAAAAAAAAGAAAAAGATATTTTCAGCCAGAATGTTGAGTACCTTTTCTATAAAACCTCAGCTATTTTTTATATGTAACCGATACTTGTAGAATCACTTCTACCAATTTCTGTAATCAGACTTACTCAGAGAATTTCTCACAATGTGAGAAAAAGCTAGTCACAGCAAAGTCACGTGCTGTTTCAACAGAAATCACACACAGCATTGTAACAGGACACCACACAAAGGAGATCAAAGAATGAAAACCATGGCCAGAGTCCACAGCTGAATAAATCTACACGTACTTACACGTGCAACTGGTGAAGAACTGAACTCACAATGAAAGAAAAAAACCCAAACAAACTTGCTCAACACGACCATAAAACAAAAGTAGACTAACACAATGTTTCACTTGAAAACAAATAATGAGCAACTGAGGAATCAGTTCCCCCAAATAATTATTTCGATGAATCATCACCTTATTATGTCATAGACTAATAATCGTTGATATACATAATATTAGCAGGGAAGTACAGGCTGGCTGAAAAGTCCAGCATCACAAAGGATCCTTCTCATACCTGTTTCTTCAGTTTGCAAGTGAAGCAGTACAATCACTCCACAAGATGAGAGAGCAGTTTGAGAATTCGAAATTAAAACTCTCCCTATCCCACCGCAGCCCAGCCCAATTGATGTTGGACTTTTCAACATCGTATACATCATCAATAAATGTTTTCACAGTAACTCATAAACTAAGCAACAATAAAACAAGCAGCATCTGTCAAAGTCACCTAAAAAACAAACCATTAGGGTCAATGACCATTTTCCATGTTCAACAAAACATGTGACAAGAATATTCAACTTATATATATATATGTGGTGCGGGCATCTGTACAAAGTTCCCGTTACAGTGATATGTGCTGCAAACCAATCGTACTTAATTGAGCAGAAATGATGCAGACTTAGGGTATAGTAACAAAACAGAGTAACACTTCTTACAGTCATAGCATGCGACCCATTTTTGTGAAACAAAGACACCGATTACACTCTTCTACACGCAGAAATATAATATGTATATTTATAATGTTTATATGTAGACATAGAACAAAATGTTTTTCGCTTTTAAAGTACACCCGATTAAATGAATCATCAACAAGCGTTTTAAATAACAGCATTGCAGATCAATTTTTAAAAACAGAATCAAAGAGAGTGTGAGATTATACAGCCAGCACATGAAATTTCGTATACTAAACATGCAAAACTGTAAGGAAACAATTATAGACTAACACCCCCCTTCCCCCATCAAATAATAATATTCCATCTACAAAATTACTTTGGAACAAAAGAAATGTAGTTTTCTCTAAAAAGTATTTACCCCAGCTACCCGGCAGTGGGAACCAGTCACAACAAAGGGAAAAGCCTCTTGCGTTATCAAACTCTGTGAGGTTTTTTTATTTTTCCTCACCCTCTCAAACGCCCCCGCATTGGTATACACATTTAACGGGCAGCTAAAAGTTTAAGTTGTTATTCAGTCTCCTTGAAGAAAAAAAGACTGGTTGGTTCCATAACATTACCTGTTCTAGAAATAATACAATAATTGATTTTTACCCCCCTCCTGTCTAGTGAGAAAAAAGAATGGGATATATTAGAAAAACAGAAAGTAACACCTTTAAAAAAAAAAAAAAAAGGATGAATGAACAAAAATTCAAAAACATTCAAATAATAAACACAAAAGAGAGGAAAGTCAGAAAGGAAATCTGTAGTTCTGCTTATATGTATATAAACGGAATCCCTGTATGCATTTATATGCAGAAAAATAATACCACATACAATGCACAATGGACTTCATATGAAATAGTGGAGCGGAAACCAAAGCAATAAAAATAGACAGAAAGATCTGTAACGGGCTGATATAACTCTTCATTCCAGACCACATCAAGCCGATTCCACTCTAATCGCCTTGGAGCTGAATTCCCCTTTAGCAGTTTAGCTCAAGGGGAAAAAAAAAATATCAGTATGAGAGCAGCCTGCTATTACACCATTCATACACAATAGTGCAACTTACAACAATTAGCCCCCGCATAAAGTCAGATCACAAAAGAAGAAAAATGACTGGGGGGGTAAAAACTGAATGAAAACGAATCAATTCAGAATATAATCTGTGATACAGAAATTAAAACACAAATCTGGCACGACCGTACTAAATAAATGTTGGCCATCAAATCTCTATTTTCAGAAATGCTGTCCTCTTTGCACGCTGCCAGTTTTTTGTCTTTAGCATATCTTTGCAGAACTATGTATTCATATATAGCAATATATAGCAATATGCGTAAACGTCCAACTGATGATAGATGTGCTTTCACTAATAAGTTCCTTGGACAGAAACAGAAGATTTACCACTTATGTCTAGCAAAGTTACCCGAATACACAGGACTTGAGAAAGTTCTGAGACAACATTTGCCTTGCTTGGTGCAACAGATAAAAGAAAAGGCAGCTTCTGTTTGACCTTCTTTTAAGACACCCTTACTTGAGGCATGCACTTCCCCTAAAAAATATTTGAGAAAGAAAGATAAGGAGGCTCCACACAGATCTAGTAAGACTTCCTGAAACAGAAAAGCTGATGTTGGCATCCTTATCTGAAACGCAACAGTTTCCAGAGTTCTATTACAATAACATCCCTAGGATCAGACGGATACCTCAAAATGCTTTTCAGCATTTACAATCAAGTCTTTTTGTATTCTGCTTGATTGGTGGCATAATCATAATGTTCTCAGACTTTCTAATACAGCAGGAGACAAGAAAAACCCAATTCAAAAGAGAAACATGCAGATTAGATTTCAAAATTTGGATGAGGTCATGAAAATGCAACTTGAACGGAACATTCTACATCAGAAAGAAAAAAAAAATTTAATTACCATTTTCCCATATGCATTCTATGGACAACGAATCCAATGGAAACAAATAAAAGACTGAAAAACACCCCAAAACAATGAAGGGATATAATATGAGAACAAAAAATACTACATAACTGGCCAAATAGTCCACACAGAATGTCAGTGACCATCTCAGCATAATACAAGACCTGGATTCAAAATCAAAATATTTCTCAGGTACAGCAAAAAAATCATCACAAACACAAATAAAACAGGAGAATTCTTACTTTTCTCCACCAAAAGACAAAATAAAACTGTAGATTCTGTCCTTCCACGAGAAAGATAACCTCTCCTCTCTCCCTTCCACAGGAATGAAAAAAAAAAAAAAGTGGTCAACAAATGATCTACATCTCTTTAAAAATGATTCCTCCCCCCTCCCTCCCCCCCAAAAAAAAATTACAAAGGAAATCAGATCAGACAGAATGCAATCTTACTTATAACACCATCAACAAAAATCCTTTCAAAAGAGATAAAGCAAGGAATGTCTCACAATGCTCCCTTGTGCAGAAGGAAACTCATCGACTGAAATGTCTAAGTCGAGGGGTACATTTTCAAAGTAAATCTGTCTATCATTAATACCTGTATCATTTCAAAATTTAAAATGTTTTCTTCACCTTGAAGAAAATCATAAAGGGAAAAAAAAAAGAGATAAATGAATTTGACTATTCATGCTGATTTACTGCATTGGATTTTTAATGCGCGTATTACAACTTGGAATAAGAAATTGCTCAAACACTTACTTTGACCTCAGCATAGGCTATCTAATGACGTGGGTGGTGGGAGGGTGTCACGGGTGGTTCCTACTTTTTCTTTCCTTTTATTGTTTTGGTCTGTTGGTTTGTCTTACATTTACCCAGCATAAAATGACCTTTATTTTGTCGATGTGCTTGTCTATTCTTAGATATCAAACAAAAGTACTAAAAGTACCAATGACAAGCCTTACACAATTCCCCTAAAGTCCCAAGGTCATCCATAAACCAGGGCGACATTTACTCCCCCCCCCCCTCCGCCCCAGCCCAGGTGAAAAAAACAACATATGCAGTAGAGATAGTTTAAACTGAAATCAATGCAACTATTACGTTTTCTTCAGTTTAGTTGCATTTTCAGTTGAAAGAGATAGCCCCAATAGTGTCGTCACAACTTCTTTTCTTTAACTCCTTCGAGGAGGGCTGGCCAACCTCGCTGTTCTTTGTCCTATTTCAATTCTTCCTCTCCCTGCAATAGTTGTTGACAGTGGAGAGTTGGGGGTGCTACGCTTGCAACAAATATCATGTTTGAAAATTTTTTTTTTCTCCTTTACCTCTTTCAGTAACTGTAATGTTTGAGCTGCAGAATGTATGTATTGAACTTGCATTTCACTTCGACTAGAAGTCAATACAAAATAGACCCAATAGTACACTGTACTGTGTTCTGTGCTAGAGAAGTCAGAAAGCCCAATGCCACTGACGTTATGAAACACACGGGCAACAGGCCATGACCCACCAAAGGTCGCACAGCAGACGTACATTCCCAATCTTAGGGTAGCTGTAGGCCTACTGATGTGTGTGATAATACTGATAAACATAGGCAAACAGTACACTGGTGAAGCCTCTCTAAGGGCCTGTACTTGACACAAATGCATTCTCCTATCTCTTTCTCTTGTTTGGCTATCTTGAAGTGCATATTACTTGATGATTTGTATTGCTTGAAAAGTTGCCAGAGAAAAATTAGACGACATGACCCTTAAATCTCTTTTCAATTATGAAATAAGAGCGTTTCGGCAAATCGAAAGTTGTCTTATACGGAAAAGAAAAAAAAAGAAGAAAAAAATTGAGGATTTTGTTTCCCTTTAGATTACTGTTATTTTTGGATTAACCGCTTTCTGTTTAAGTTATCACCACTGTATAATGACAAAACAAACAAACGTTCCACAGCTATGGCAACCTGTCATACTCAAAACAAAATCTTCATAAATGACATGACTCCACACCTGTGAAGTCTCCATACCTCACAGAAAACGGGAACAACCCAAAAAAAAAAAACCTGTACAAAAAAAATCAGCAAACAATCAATTCAGCATTCAAAAGGTCTTTTAACAGAGATAAAAGAAAAGCAACAGCACGTGGAGTCATGCTCTTTGATCATAACCAAAAAAGTAATGCATTCCATCTCAGCATCCTTTTGAAAACTTTTGTTCAGTGAGAGACGGAGAGGAGGAGGAGTATGGCCTGAGGGGGTCAAGACAGGGGTGGCTGGTGGGTGGTTAGCTGTTGCTGCCGCAGCATGGTAGCCATGATTTGCCCCCTCCCAGAGATCTGCTGTTGAGGTGAATGTTACTTGGCTGGCCAGGGTCCATATTCGTGTCATCACCAAATCGCCTCTTCAGTTCCTGAGGGTGCGAGATCAAACATGAATGAATCATGTTTGACAGACTAGTTTTTACAGATAAATGTACGGCATCTATCTAAACAAGGAAAATTTCACAAGACTTCTGAGTAGTTATGAGCTGGCAAGGTATGAATATTTTCAAAGTAACTGGTAAGCATCCAAATTTTGGACTGATTAGGCTGCAAAAAGTAAAAACATGCAAAAAAGTTTCACTTACCAGGAGTCTTTTGCAGAGCTTCCTTTTTAACGGCATGTCTTTATAAGTTTAGAAACCACACATTTAATATATTAAAAACAGACAGAAAGAACAAATCAGGGCTACTACAATAACAATTAGTATAAAGAGATGATTGTCTCTACCAACATACATGTATCTAAAGCATTTACACCCCAGCCCTGAAAAAAAAACCTCGTTGACTTTTCCAGCAATTGCAGAAAACTGAAGGACTCACTATATGATAAGTTTATGGGTGTGAACTATTTACTTCCTATTAAGTAAATAAAGAGTCACGAAATCTAAGTGGGTCTCATAATAATAACAGAAAGGCTCTAAATACCCGGAAAAAAAAGCTGTTTAGACTGTGCTAAAGAAATAGTCAAAACTTACTTTGGCCATTTTGAGGAATGTATCATCCACATTTGTGTTTTCCTTCGCACTTGTTTCAAGAGCACCGATGAAATGTTGGGAATGGGCAAAATTCTTCGCTTCTTCTTTGCTGACCTCTCGCAATGACTCCAAATCACATTTATTTCCTAAAAGAAAGGAACACAAAGATTATAGTTGTACATACATATGAAGCTGAGAATTGACAAAAAAAACAAGAGGATATTGGATATCACTTACCATCACAACATTTTTTAAATTAAATAGCTTCTGATACCATTATTTAATTCCCTAATTGGTTCATTCACAACAAAACGAGTTACGGTTTGTTCACACCTTACTGGTTACATTTTGATGGCATCATTCCACAGTATGATCTCATAGTGAACCCACCAGAAGGAAACACCACAGCCGCAAGGTACGCGAAAGCTGCCAGAGCTTTTTTGTACAAATACAGTGCTCACTACAACACAACTCACACACTTTCGTTTTCAGTGTCTTATTTTCACCCTGAGGACTCTTTACAGAATACAACATAGATGGTATGGTCTACAATAGGTCCCAAGCTTTTATTAAAGTCAAACTTATTCTAATAACCACCAGACTGAGACAAACAATCCCCCGCACCACTGACTACTTTTCATCACTCTCCTTGTGATTTTTTTTCTATATTATAATGAAGCTGCTGTCCATGGGACCACCTGTCTAAGATGACCCCTTTTCTCCTCACCGATAGGTGGTAGTCCTGGACAGGTTTAATTTATTCTCTCCCTTCTCTTCCACACCCCTTCCTGAAGGAAGTGTACAATTTCAGCACATTCAAAGGAAGCTGATCCCTAGGATTAGTCCAGTAGTACTTCTGAATAAAAAAGACTTTTCCTCGACAGAATCAACAACATTCAAACTCCACTCAAATTCAAATAAAAAATCTTGAGAAGTCTAAAAATGGGCACTTACAAAGCCTCAACAATAAATCATACCAGAATGGTCGTTACTTACCGACAAGCAACTGCACAACATTAGAGCCGGCGTAACGTTTCACATCATCCAGCCACCTGGGAACTGCTTCGTACGTTTGTCTTTTGCTGATGTCAAAGGCAATGATGACTCCATTCGCACTGCGGTAGTAGCTCTGGGTTATCGTGCGGAATCGTTCCTGACCAGCAGTGTCCCAGATCTGAAGCTGAACGATCAGGAAAAAAGTTTATGATTGTGATAAAATTTTGAGGCATGAAATGATTTATAATACACATGTGTATGACAGACGGTAAAAATAATAAAATTGAAGATAGCAAAGAACCTTAACACATTCTATAATAGTACAAAGACCTGAATGACTAAAAACAGGCCTTACTTGTAAACTACCAACCATATGGAACGTAAAAAAATATAGTAAAGAGAACTCGCAGTTACAGAAAAGGCAGGAAGTGTAGCGATTGCTGTACTGATCCTGTACGATTGATTTTATCAATGTATTTTTGGATGATTAGGCAACTTTAGGTTGGCATAAAAAAATGTTTGAATCAGAACTGACATTGGTAATAAATTTAAAATTAACACTAAATTAAATTAGAGGCCGACTTGCACTCCCTAATACAGCAATAAAGCATTTAAAGTGTTGTTCTGCTTCGCCTTCCAGCTTTGACATGCTGAATTCAACTTTTAATTTCCTTTTTTTTAAATTCAACATTTTTACTCTTCAACAAAACTACAAGTACTACAAGACTTATTTTAGAACTAGTACTAGTACTCAAGAGCGTTTCAAAGTAACATATATAAAAGAATACTGAGCCAGGCTTGGCCTTTCTTTATGGGGTGCCCATTACGGATGGGACCGGCGGGTCAGGCCGATCGCCCGCCATGAAAATAAAAATATGCGACGACCGAGGCGGGTGATCGGCCCTACCCACCGTAATGCAGCCTAGTCTAGTACTAATGGCACTAAAAATCTACTAATCTAGTGCCAAGTTTAGCACAGTACTGGTGTCATTAGTAGTGTAGTCCCGGGTCTATAACTTGATTGGCTTAGGCTGAGTGGGTACCCAGTGGATGCAGGTGAAAAATAAAATGAAGAGGCTAGCCGTACTTAATGACGGCTAGACTGGCAGTCTAGCCGTACTTATTCTTAATATGATGGCTAGACTGACCATTTCCAAAAAAATAGGCCTACTGAATTGTATATATACATTTTTAGTGTGCAGTAGCTAAAGTATTTGTATTTGAGACGAAACCAGGTGCCAAAATGACAGTGCATGTATTTTAAACCTCCTGTTTTCTAATGTTAATAGGGCCTAAGATAAGTACGGCTAGACTGGCAGTCTAGCCGTACTTAAGTACGGCTAGACTTCTTGGCTAGCTGTACTTAAGTACAGGTAGACAGCCAGGCTAGCCGTACTTAGTGACGGCTAGACTGTTAGGCTAGCCGTACTTAATATTGATGGCTGAATTGTAAATGAAATTTTTAGTTTGCAATGCCTAAAGTATTTGTATTTCAGACAAAACGAAAAGGTGCCTTACTGACTTGCATGTATTTGAACCTGAATAATTACTAGATCTAGATCTAGATCTAATGAGACCTGTGTACTTAACGGGCTTGAGTCGGGGCCAAACCTAGATCTAAGTACGGCTAGACTGGCAGTCTAGCCGTACTTAAGTACGGCTAGGCTAGACTATCAGTATGATCACTCTAGCCGTACTTAAAAAGTACGGCTAGCCACTTCGATAATAAAAAATAACTTTTTCTTTAGGATGCCAATCACATGTATTGGAGTTAGATTTCTAGTAGTAGTTCATGTTGAAAAAGGCTTCTTTCTATTAAAAAGTATGAAAATCTAAGTGTCAGGGTAGTCAGGCTACTCAGATACCCAGCCAGACTCAGCAGACTCCATCCGCTCCGTTCATCCACTCCATAAAAATTGTTAACCCTCTACTTACTTCTTCTGTTTACAGAGTGAAAGATACTGTCTCTTCTCTTTTCATCACAATCCTTACCTTTACTAGTTTTCCATCGATGTTGAGGGTTTTCATTGTAAAATCAACACCTATGGTGCTCCCATGCTTTTCTGTGTAGGTCCCGGACTTGAATCGTTGAACAACACACGTCTTTCCAACGCCAGCATCTCCAATCAAAACGATTTTGAACAAATAATCGAACGATTCGTCCGGATCTGAAGCCGGATGATATGCCATTATATTTCTCAAACTGAAATAACTTACAAACACGGGGAGTTACGGCTACAAGATACCCTTTCACTTCATGTTTATCCTTACGTTCAACATAACGTTAGTAGACTGCGGTTGTCGTCATTATTGTTTAGACCGGAAGAGGCAATGAATCAGCTGCACTATAAAACTTTAATATAGTCTGAGGCGCAGGAACGGAACAAACTAAAACACGAACTCGGAGAGCCACACTGACCTCTCTAATAAACTCGTATGAACCACACCAGCAAAAGGCATGTACAATTCAAGTGTTGCGTTAGGCCTACCTCTTGAAGTTAAAGTCTTTTAATCACATGAGCCGCTTGTAAAATCCCTTGACAGACCTTGATGCGCACTGGAGTAAAGCACAATGCTTTTTTACTTTAATATGTGACCCATAATAATAATATATTATTTATATGATAACATCTGATGCCAAATGTTCCACAGAAATAAAAAGGAGAACTGCAATGGCTAAGGCTAGTTTCAATAAAATGAGCCCAATCCTGAAAAGTAGAAACATCTCAATGAACACAAAAATGAAAGTCCTGAAATGCTATGTTTGGTCAACCCTTCTATATGGCTGTGAATGCTGGACAATTACTAAAGACAGTGAAAATAAAATTAAATAGAAGCAACAGAAAAGTGGTTTCTTAGGAGGCTGCTAAGAGTATCGTGGAAGGAAAAGAAATCAAATGAGGTAGTGCTGGATGAAGCCCACGTGGGGCGCTCAATGATGAAAACAATTAGGAAACGACAAAAGCAGTTTTGGGGACACGTTAATAGACATACGGGTCTTGAACATCTAGCTCTCACTGGCAAAATTGAGGGCAAGCGAGGCAGGGGTAGGCCCAGAACAACATACTTAGGGAACCTAAACAAATGGGTAACAGGGAAAGATCGGGGAAACGTAGCTTTTTTTTTAGAGCATCCGAGCAAGAGAATGAATGGAAAACCATGATTGCCGATGTCTGTCGCAGATCTGGCACTGGATGATGATGATGACGATGATGATGATGTGACCCATCGGGTCTTGATGTCTCACGTGGCATTTTTATTATTATTTTCCAATTGAATTTTTTCTTCTTTATCTTCACTTTTTAAAATGTAGAGTATTACGTCCCGATCATAAAAAAGTCCAGACCATTATTTATTAGAAGGCGGGCTTCTGACTCTGCCCGTCAGGGCCAACCTGGGCTAGGAGGGAAATAAAATCCCAGCAGAAAGACCCGAGATGGGTAACCTCGATAAAATATATTTATTCTCCCTACTTGGGATTCGAACTTGAATCTTCTGCATGCGACTGCGGAGCGCCTATCCGCTAAGCAAGAGAACCGTTTTTTTAAAATCTTCATAGTCCAAAAGCATGTTATTATAGAAAAGGATCTTGAGCACGATGGCCGTGTTAAGCCGAAGTTCTTAGTTTTTAACATTTATTATTAATTAATATTTTATTATTTAAAAAAAAGGTGTTTTACGGCGCTCGGAACTGCATAAGATCATATGAGCGAGCGGGACACATTCAACATTTTCAGTTGGTGGACATTTTTAATTTTGCCCGGGTGGTGGTCGAAGCCTGCTCTTATATATCGATTTTGGACCACCGAGGGATCTTTAACGTGCGCAACTTGCACACGGGATCTCCGAGATTTTTCGTCTTTGTCCGAGAAGGCTTGGTGTAGATCTTTCCTACCATGAAGATCAGGGGCGTGGATGAAAGACAGCAGTAAGAAAGAGCTGTCGGAGTAGCAGTAGAAAGGCTGCAGAAAGAGTCAGGAGCCCAGAGGAGGGGGGTGAAAGCGGTTGGGGG